GGTATCGCGTGTTGCAAAGTTCATCGATGTTATTCGACCCGCGCCATTGAAAGTTGACAACTAGCACGGACGAGCCCGTGCCGTCGGCGTCGTGTGCGTCGCGACGCAACGCGCGCGTGCTGTACGTGGCACGAGAGAGCACTCGAGGCATGGCATCGCCACCTCCGCCGGGAGAGATGACATCCCTTTGTATGTTGGAGTAGATTTCTAAATAGCATAGCGCGCGCTCGTCGTCTGAAGGACTCTCGTTCGCTCGAGATTGAGCCCCGTTCTTCGCTGTACAGTATGGGGGAGAGACGCCAATGAATATCTTCGTCGTATCATCGACAATTAAAAGCGCGCACGCGGAATCCCCGTTCGCGTCTTTGTCGATCGAGACAATCGGGCTTGAGTTCCAGAGTATATAGGTACTGTGGACAGCTCGTTAATTCATCTGTGCACTATACGATCCTCGGTAACAATTATAATTGTAAAAAGAAACAAGCGGGTCAAATTCATGGAGAAATTCTGCGTTGTAATTACCGTTGTCGCGTAACTCGATTTGCAACGATAATGAGACATAATGAGAAGAAATGTGATAACAATACCGTCAGTCTTGTTCAGTATTCATATTCTATGCGATTTTAACAATGAAGCTATCTCTCTCTCTCTCTTTCTTTGTAACTCGATAGCGCGTCTTGCTGTTAGCGATTAAAGGGGTAGCATCACAATCGGAGAGACGGAGAATTCCTTGGTCTTAAAAAAAATTAAAAAGCTGAGCTATTACTTAGACTTAGAGGACAGAAAATGTTCGAGTGAGAATATTATGCAGTGAATGCATGGTACCTCGTAAACTTCGCACACCTGTTCACTACAGCCTGGCAATATCTCTACGTAGTCAAGAATTCTTTCATGCTTGAACGACGATCGGTACTTGACCTTAGAATACTAATGAGCCGTGGCGTTTATATCTGCACTATCGCGAGCTGCATCGCCGCCATTCAGCCGTTGCTGCTCGCGTAAACTGAGAGAATAATCGAGCGTAGCGCAAGTAATTCAACTGAAAATGATCCTTGGCTTAGATATTGTATGAAGTTTTAATTACAAATTTCGTTTCGCATTTTTGCTCCTGTGAAAGAATGAAATGCCTGATTTCTATTTGCTTGATGCTATATTCACAGATATCTATTACTTTGTCTATTTATCCACGCAAAAAACTTGGGATTTAAAAATAATATTTTACCCAATTTTTCCGATAGTAAAGAAACGAAAAATTGAATGCAGACTTCGCTGACGTTATTATTAAATCCTGCATCACTTTTTATATTCGTTTATTTCGAGCCCTCCCCCCTCCCCTCCTGTCCCCTCTTCCCAAATATTACAGATATCGGATATTCAAGCCGAACATATCGACTACATAAAGTATTCATAATTTCGTTAAATATTCGTATACAAATATATACATATGTATATGAATATATTTCGAATTTTCTATACCTTCGCTTCTTCGCACTTTTGTTTACACACAGGATTTTTATCTCCCCGTGCGCGTATCCCGACTTACTTTACTTCGCCTTAATCGCCAGCATTTAACATAACTCGCGGCGAAATCTGCGTGTGTTACCAATTAAATAACCATGATACATCAGTGATACTGATGCGCCCGTATAATTAGGGAATAATATACCGGAGACTCGCATGACAATTATCTCGTATCCCGCAGCGCATCATCTGGTTAGCACATGTGCCACACGCACGACCGCTACACACACACACGCGCGCGCGCGCGCACACAGATGGTAAATCCATGTATTTGCACGGGGTCATTCGCACGCGCGTCAGTATGCAGTACGCATGCATACGCACGTTCGCGTTCCAGTATCCTCGATCGCGCGCGTTCGCCACTAGCCTACATTACATTTCTTCGTATTCACGTGAAAACGCCGCGCGCTAAAACAAGCTACTGCTAAATATTGTGCAGCATGTACCGCCCCTTGCGAAAATTTACAATTACACGCACGCGAGATTAATCCAGTTATTATTCAGACGAATTTCGCATTTGGATGGAAACGTCTGAAGCGATAAAATTGAAATTGAAAAGATTTAATTAGTCCTTTAAATGGCGCAATGATGAATGGGAACTGTACGTATTTCCGCTTCTAGCAGAATTGAGCTGAAGTTTAATTTAACTACACGATGATATCAAATATTAAAAGGAATTATTCCTGAAATATTGAATATTTTTAGTAATCTTATTAGTGATAAAACATTATTTTAACTAAGAGAGAAAGAAAATCTTTTTAAATAAAATTAAACTTCTGTGAACCTAGCGTCATCACTAAAAAAATTCAAAATTCTTAATGTTTCTTTGCGGTATGTTAGAGCAAAGAAATTGTAAAAAAAAATTTGGTATATTATTTTTTTCTTTACTCTGTGCGTGTTTTTCCCTTGGGAGTGGAGGTGCTAGCGTAACGTGAAGTCAGCACTTTTGATATTAATTTCCTGTGAATGAACAGAAATAATAAATTAGCAATTAATGAGAACTTAATTATGACATATATAACTTTTTTTTAATGGGAGGGTATTAAGTTCACAGTGCTCAAAATTAAATTCTTACTGTAAGATCAATGGGTGCATCGAAAGATGAGGAATTAAAAATGACAATGCCTAAATTATCATTTTTGTCTTATCATTTCTATTTAAACTTACAGAAATTGTATTTTATATGGCAATCGCAATTATGCGTGAAATGCTATTCTTCATCAATTTATCGAAAATCAAGAAAGGATTTTATGTATGCTTGAATAGAATTATTTTACATTGTATGTTCAATAACATCATTTTTGCTTTGAATCCCGCAAATAATCAATAGCTCATGTGTATGCGAATCTTATATTCATAATGATCTGCTCAATGCCGACATTTACGTGTATGCATCGATCTGGACGATCTGGTTGTGTCTGCATATGATAAAGTTGCGTGCAAACGTGGCTCAATATTTCATATTGTGCATATGACGAGATATTTATTTTATACATATATAAAACCAGAGAGAGAGAGAGAGAGAAAGAGAGAGAGAGAGAGAGAGAGAGAGAGAGAGAGAGTTCTCTGTGCCAGATGCAACCATAATTTTTAAAGCAGTGAGAAATTGAATTGACGTAACTCAAAAAGGGAAAATATTTCTAAATACAATTAGGTAGTATTTCTTAAATATATGGAAGCTAAAAGCTAATTTTATTACTTTTATTCTAATACATACATTTGAGCAATAATTTTTAAATAAGAACAATAAAATGATGATTGTATTATATATTTTTTTTTATCAAAAACGAAGCTTATTAAGCTGCTATGATTCGCTCATTTAGTATTCTCATTGCGAATGAATAAAATACAATGAAAAATTGCATGCATGACATATACATATTTATACATTCACAAACACACACACACGCACACACACACACACACACACACATACGCACGAGGTAATTTATATCTGCTTAATAGGCTTCACTTTTAACAAAAATAAAGAACTTAATTCTTTTAAAAAAAAATATTAAAAAATCAATCAAACTGAAAAAGAAGTAACAACGAAATCTAATTTGACTGCACTTTCTAAACAATCAAAATATATGTTATTTTATTCTCATAAATGTATTTATATGCATTTTTTCCACTTGTGAGGAGCAAAGCTACACAGTATCTTCATAATACTATAATACCCCTGCAGTATGTAGAAAGACTCGCGGTCTTTCGCGAAATCTCGAATGTACACACTGGTGTCGACTCTACCCGCATGTTTGTTTGAGTTTGCACGCGGCTTTACAGAACGGTTGCGCCATGTAAGTGTGCGCGGACACCGTCGATCCGAAAGTTGGTCCAAGCGCGCGCGCGTATATACTCGTCGATCTCCTCCATCATGGAAATTTACGAGCCCGGGCTGTTCGATGCAATTCACGAGAAACGAGTATGACGCGACGTCTCGGGAGTTTGTCCACGAATTTTGCTCTCCGCGAATTCAATCGATCGCCGTCGTGTCCGCAGCAAAACGCGTATAGTTGCGGCAAACGCGACGGTATGTTGCACTTCGCCCGCTATATGTATATTACGTCGATCTCTCAAATTGTCGGCAAATAGCCGACACAAACAAATCGTCACTGACGTTAATACTTTTTTTTGCAAAATAAAATATTGCAATCTTTGATATACTCGCTGTAATCTTTTTTGCTTGATTCGTACGATACTATTATGTGTTGCACATGTGTCGAATGGTAGGACGCCCACCCGGCAAATAGGGAGAATCCTGAAGTAATATTTTTCGCAATGAATTCTTTACAGGTTTTAGAAGAGAGGGATTCTTATAGATGCTTGTTAGCATCAAAAATATTAAATGGTTCGTCAGTTGAATTCATTGTAATGGATTCCAGTTTCATGTACATGGCACGGAGAGAATTTTATTTTAAAATTTACCCTGAAAATCATGTCAATCGTAGGACAACATAGTATTTCGACGAATTTTATATGATTTTTACTATGTTTTTAAATATATACTACAACAAATTTATTGTAGTGCACACTACAATTTGTCGAAATACTATGTTATCCCACGATTAACAAAATTTTCAGGATTAATTTTAAAAGAAAATTCTCTTTGTGTAAGAATTGTGTTTTAAAACCAACAACAATTGCGGCGCGCAGTTTATGTAGGACTGAATAACAATAAAATTATTATACGCACCAATATCCGCGTCGGCTCACATTAGACTTTACTTACAATTAGTTATGTATTTCTGATTTATTCGTGGGAGTCTAATTCCTTTCAATTTAAATTTATCACAATTTTTCGGTAGCATCTTTTGCAGATAGAATTTTCAGTAGTACTGAAAGGCCGTGATATATTCTTATTAGAAAATCGCGGTTACGTCTGATCCTTACTGCTTCATTGTCCCCTACTCCGCTTACCTACAAGGCTGACGAGACTTGTTTTATATAATATAGTCTCGAGAAAGAAAGTTATTACTCGTATATCCAGTTTCACTGGCGACAGCGTAAGAACATGAGCGTGGCTGTTCTTCAAACAACATCGAGCACGTTGCAAAATCGAATAGAACACGTTCAGTAAAATTCGATAGCGAGTGAATTTCAATAGAAATAGTCAATTGCATATTGATAACATTGTGGATAAAGAAGCACTGTAAAATGTGGTGCTTGAATAAAATGTGTACGAGCGAAGCACGTCTAGATGGCAAAACTGTTGTGATAACAGGAGCGAGTGATGGTATCGGCAAGGAAACCGCTAGAGATTTATACGCAAGAGGTGATTTTATTGACTGAAGTGATAATTTTAGTTAGTCTAAACTTGGAAACTTTAATTCAAGCAGATATTATCTAGCATAAACAAAATAAATATTTGATATTTGATCCAAAAATAGTAAGTGCTAAATTATGTTATAATTTAGCCATGTAACAAAATTTGTAAGAAATATACTTACATTTTTTTACTGAATAAGCTTTTTCGATTATTCTTTCTTTCATTTAGAGCTACATAAAAATTTTTTCTGCAACTGTATAAATAAAATATGTTAACAAATAATTCCAATAAGGTTATATGTATACAATAAATAAGTAAGGGAAAAAGCCAAATATGGCCAAAGTTATAGATATTGATTGTCCATTAATATTTTTATTTTTAATTTTTAAATTTCAGTTACATTTATTACTTTCGGTTTTTTAGGACGCAATCATAACTTAAAGTTCAAATGATATCACATATTAAATTGATCTTTAATTCGATGCTGATGCTACAAGCATCATAAAAGACTGAGAACTTTGTTTTATGATACTTGTAGTATCATCTTCTCGTATTTTGACATTTGGACTTTTTCCTTATTTAAAATATATATTCTTAAAAATACTCGCGTAAATAACATGTGCTTTAGGCGCTAGAGTAATACTAGCTTGTAGAGATATGGAGAAGACGAATAAAGCAGTTGAAGATATAAAGAATAAACCACCTTTGAGGTAAATATAAAAATGTGTATCAATTAAATCAGTTATTATTTGCTTTATTTTTTTCTCGCATCATGAAACTAGTATATACTTATCTTACAATAAATTCGATTGGATATACTAATGCGCACTGAGTGCACATTAAAATCGTTGTACACAAATTGATGTAAAGATGTGTGTTGAATATAAATATAGAAACGAGTTAAACTGCGAAATTCTTAATAGTACTTTATTGTACTATTTGGTAAAATATGATATAGTAAAATATTGAACATTTTGTCATTCGAGATATTTCACTTTTACATTGAGATTGAGAACAGTGCAACAATGGCAATATGCGTATTAATACGTTCTGAACGAATTAGCTATTAATTAAATGTTTGCATGTTGGTGAAAATAACGATGTGGCACGTAAATATGATACTATTTGTAGGATCAATAAGGACGAATATAAAAAGAACGCAGGTGAACTTGCAATTTATTTTCTGGATCTATGTAGTTTAAAGAGCGTGAGAGATTGCGCTAAAAACTTGTTAACAAACGAAGCAGCTATTCACGTATTAATAAATAATGCCGGTGTGGCTGCGTATCCGTATGAGAAGACGGAGAATGGAAATGAGACGACATTTCAAGTCAACCATCTTGGTCATTTTCTTTTGACACTTCTGCTCTTGCCAAAAATGCAGTTGTCTTCTCCCAGTTGCAGAATAATCAATGTTTCGTCAATTACATATATTTGTATGTAAAGAGTTGTGGTAGTTTTAAAAAAAGAATCAGAGTATTTTTTGTCTAGAGTTTCTGTTTAAAATACTATTGTAACAGAAATATTCTATTATATATAGTTGCTGACATAGATTTCGATGATATTAATTTGGAGAGAACTTACGCATCATTTAAAAGTTATACACAATCCAAATTGGCGAACATTCTGTTTACCAAGGAACTTGCTCGTCGATTGAAAGGTGTACCAAAAAAAGGAGATATTATTACGATTTGAATTAGATCATATTTGTTTAATACCTATTTATTACCAAATTAAAACTTAACAATCGAACTAATCGAACATTAAAGATTTTTTACGTAATGAAGAAAAAATACACAACAGATAGACACTTAAACAAAGATTTTGATTTTTAGGAGCAAATATTCACGGGATAAATGTATATTCTTTACATCCTGGTTTTATCTCGACCAGAGTGTCACGGTATGCCAGCAGTACAATATTTCCGTGCGCAACTCTTTGTTATAATATGTTTGCGCAATTGATGTATAAAAATGCTGAACAAGGAGCGCAAACAACAATATATTGTGCGGTAGATGAAGAAGTAGCTAATGAGACCGGACTTTATTATTCGTAAGAAAGAGAACATACTATATATTATATACAAAATTATTTTTATGCAGTATATAATATTTATATAATATATTTAATTTCGCATTATCTTTTTTTTATGAGTAGAAATTGTCGTGTTGCCACTACATATCGGAAGGCAAACAACCATGAGTATCCCGAAAAATTATGGAATGTATCCTGTCGTCTTTTGCATTTGGAACCAGAAGAAGATTTCACTACATTTTTAGAAACTGTTTCGCGTCAAATGCTTTAGAGAATTTTCTCTATTTTTACAGAAATTATTGCGGAAATGTTTAATAATAAATTTACGTTTCTTTTTATCTTTAATAAATAAAATATTTAATAAAATTTCGGATGAGAAGAAAGCGGATGCAAAACCTTTCGAATTGTCGACCGAACGAATAACCGGAATGCCTTAAATCCCCGTCGCGGAAACTGCAGTTGACACCGCGCCTGAACTTGACTTAATCGAAGCCCGAGGTAGAGCGAAAGAATCCACCTGTGCATTCGCTTTGAATCAGGCTAAACTGTCACATTAATCTGTTCCATTAACATTTGCGAGTGAATGTCAACTTTATCGACCGATTCAAACTGGTGATTCGCGAATTCGCCAGAAACACTCTTTTCGCGAGTGCACGATGAACTTTCGAGAGGGCTATATTGCACGGACGATAAATCGTTGATGTATGCGCCACGGCGATACGTTTCGTCGCGTATAACGACGGCTGCAGGAATTGCGCCACTCATCTTGCGTGTCACGTTCAGAGTTGGCGCATCGCGATAGTCGGTGAGAAAAAAAAATGGTAGGCGTGATAAGAAACGCCGATTCCGGTTTAATTATTTTTGTGTTTTAGATATATCGTTTCTATTTTATTGTTATCTTATAACAATATTAAAATAAAATTAATTGACAAGGAAGTTGAATGTAGAATAAGAGAGATTTAAATCAGAAGCCCTTATTTTGACACAGTTAGATAAAGTCTCATAAATGACGCTTTTATCATTTTTATATAATATAAAATATACAGTTATATATAAGTATGTATACAGTATATATAAGTAATATATAAGTATATATATACAATAAAATATATAGTATGTACGAAATTGCATTTACTCGTGTCAGTAATAAAGAAATTTCCTGTTTCTTTTTATTTTTTTTATCAACGACGTCTGTGTTAGACCACATGCGTTTTTGCATGCTAGCGCAGATCGCAGACAGAGGAAAATGAGTTTGGTACGTCCTTGAAGGTCAACAGGTTACAGAGAAAAGAAGAGCACCGGACGAGCGAATCTCGTTATAAGGGCGAGTCTTGCATTTACCCTCGGCTACCCGGAGAAGACGTACTTACACGCGTTGAACAATTTATTGCATCTTTCTTGCGCGTTAAAGCGTACTATGAACCGCATACCTTATGCTCGGTTCCCAGCTGGATCGAATCATAAATCGTGCGGCTGTCTCCTTCGCTCTCTCGAACTTTTGTCCTCTCATCCTCGGTCCACTGCGGTCACTCTTATTTCTTACGTGACCAGTCGGGAAATCTTCGTCGTGCACCTTCAAGTGCAGCAATGTCCAACCTTGCTCTCGTCTGCACGTATATACGAGTTCTGATATCTCGGTTTGTTCGCGCTACTTATTTAAATCTCCACTTTATACGTCTTGCGCGAGTTTTTATCACATTACTTTTAGTCTTTGCGTGTTTACGAGCCGCTCCGATTCGAGATGTGAGTGTAAGCTACATCGCTATATGTTTGCGACATTTCATACAATACCATCTAAAAATAAGAACGATATTTGAATCAAGAGATTGGCCCATGTTAAATGGGACATTTTTTTACGCTAGATTCGAAAATATTTTTTCGTCGAATACTTAGATAGAATTTTTTTAATTGCATTTCAAGTAATTCATCTTATAATAAGTAAAATCCTGTTTTTTAGTTCATCAAAATCGGAAAAAAACAACGTGATATCACGAACAATCTTGCGAGGCTTTTATACTCTTTGTTTGTTTTATTTATGTATAAGTTAAAGTCGTTTTCATTTTCTAGTTTAATATTTTATAATGAATAATAATCTTCATCAAACCATTACTATCTCGTTATCCACAATTATTGAAAATTACTTTGAAGTTGTCATGTGAGTTACGAAACGCAAATTCTAACTGAGATGAAGAGAAATCAGATGTAAAATGAATCATCGACTCTGAGCGTGCAAATTTCACGATGAAATAATGCACCACCAATACCAACATATCGATGACGAAATATCGGTGGTGCTTTTCACGTATTCCTATTTCGTGCAAATTATCCTTCTGCATCCTGCATTGCGCCGGGAATGAAATATCACTCCGTCCGGGAGAATTTGATATGCACGCGAGCAAACCCCATTACATCGCATTTACGGCGACCGCAACGCTGATACTTAACAATTACATCATACGTCACACAGCCCTTTTTTTATTACAGCTACGTACATTTCTAAGAAGCACGTGATTAAAACTTATTCCGCCGAAGACGCACGTACAAAATACACAGCCTTATCAGCGATGCACTTTTTTACAACTCATATAACATGTGCAGCTTGATGTGCGATACATATTGTATATACATTGTATAAGCTTTTACCTCTTTGCTTTTACCTTCGCGTGTTTACCCTTCGCCAGCCGCTCTATTCAAAATGCGCGTATAATACAAGCTATATCATTATGTGTTTGTGACATATATATTATGCTGTTGTATCATGGAGGGTACAACGAGGAGGGGAGGGGAATTCATCATCGTCGTCGCAAAAGAAGAGTAATATTTTTTACAATAAATGTCACTTTTATTCAGTACTTTCTAGTGTACATTTATTTTGATTAACGGCGACGGACTTAGATTAATTTCTATCATTGTATAGTAGATTAACTTTAATCTTAGTTTAATTTATTAGCGATTGTTAAGTTTTAATTAATTATATAAACGTAATCTAATCCAAATCGTAATAATACGTCTCCTCTTTTTGGCATACCATTCAATCGACGGGTAAGCTCCTTGGTAAACAGAATATTCATCAATTGAGATTGTGTATAACTTTTAAGTGGTGTGTAAGATTTCTTCAAATTAATATCATCGAAATCTATGTCACCAACTATAATAGATTATTTTGTTACACATATATTTTAAACAAGAACTCTGGACGTAAACGAAAAACATTCTAGTTTCTTTTTAAAGCCATCAACAATATCGCTATACGTACGAATATATGCAAGTGACGCGACATTGATTATTCTGCAATTGGGAGAAGACAATTTTTGGCAATAGCAGAAGTGTCAAAAGAAAATGGTCAAGATAGTTTACTTGAAATGTCGTTTCATTTCCATTCTCTGTTTTTTCGTTTGGAGGCGAAATCACACCGGCATTATTTATAAGTATGTGTATAGCTGCTTCGTACGTCAGCAAGTTTTTAGCGCAATCTCTCACGCTCTTTAAACTACATAGATCCAGAAAATAAATTGCAAGCTCACCTGCGTTATTTTTATATTCGATTTTATTGACCCTAAAAACATCCAGAGATCACGTTATTTTCTTCGAAAATAATTAAAAAATTTAATTTAAAAAAATGTAGTTCTATAAAAAGAGAGAAGGAGAATGTAAAAACACATAATAATTGAATTAATTGATTTTTATGATATTTTATATATTTACCTTGAAGGTGGATTATTCTTTATATCTTCAACTGCTTTATTCGTCTTTTCTATATCTCTTCAAGCCAGAATTACTCTGGCGCCTAATTGAGCACGTTATTTTTACGAGAGTATTTAGGAGTATATATTTTAATTATAAAGTAAAAAAATGTTTTTATAAAGATCTGATTAAAGCAAAGAGTAAAAAGCCTAATATTCTAACAAAAAAATGAATATATAGTGTTTTTTTTTTTCATAAAATTTCATTCTTATACGATTACGTGATAATGACATTTTGCATTGTCATCTTTTGATAAATAACAATTTCATTCTTATACGATTACGTAATAATGACATTTTGCATTGTCATCTTTTGATTAATAACAATTTCATATAATTTACACACATACACATTTTTTCTATATAATATCTACTTGATTTTTGAACTTTGAAGCTAACTTAGATTGTCATTTCAATAAAGTCATCTCTCGCGTATAAGTCTCTGGCAGTTTCCTTGCCGATACCACTACTTGCCCTCGTTATCACAACATTTTTACCGTCGAAACGTGCATCGCTCGTACACATTTGATTGAAGAGTCACATATTAAGGTTCTTTATCCACGATATTACCATTATGCCTATTGTCCTGTTTTTTATTTACTCACTATCGAGATTTCACTAAATATATTCTCCTTGACTGTACGAGTTTACTTGATGTTGTTTGTTCAATAATCACACACTTGTTCGTGTTCTTATATAATAGAGCTTCTAAGGCCTGTTCAACAATACGTTATCTTGAAGTCGAATGTCGAACGCATACGCAATGAATCTGTCAAATGCAAACTGTCATAAGACTGTCAGTTTAAAAATAAAAACAAAAAATGGCATGTCTTATTTATCTAAACATTCAACTGCAACAGTGTTTATAGTCGGTTCTTATATTTGAGATTGTCTTAAGTGTAAATCTTTTAATGTCATAAGCCATGATAATGTCATAAGTCATGTCATAACCACAGAGCCGAATGAGCATCATAAAACATTACTCAAGACGGTGTAACAATAAGAATAAACTATGAATACTTAATGATAAACTATAAATACTGGTTTATGACTAAAAAAAAATTTACAAGCATAAATAACAATTACTATTGTAAAAAAAAATGTTTAATGCTTTTCATTAAAGGATCAACATAATTGTAGGATTAAAAAATCTCTTTAACTACAATCATTATTAAAACCATAAAAAATTTAAAGCGAATTTATAGATTTAATGCTGTAAATAAAATTTTTAGACAATATAACATCACATTAATTATGCAAATCACTTGACATTGTATTTTATATAATTTTGTTGTCACATATTTTTTATAAGCATTGTAAATATATGATTACACAAGTAATATAGCTATAAACATGTAAACTGTATATATTCAGAATTTTCACGATAAACCGCCCGTGAATCTTTTTAAAGCATTTGACATGAAACATTTTTCAAAAATACAGTGAAATCTTCTTCTGGTTCCAGATGCAAAAGACGACAGGATATATTCCACAATTTTTTGGAATATTGTCGATTATTTGCTTTCCAATATGTAGCGGCAACGCCGCAATTTCTATATATACGAAAAAAGTTAAAAAGGACAACGCAGAATTATCATTGTCAGTATAAAAATAATTTTGTACATTAAATATGTGTTTTCTTACGAATAATAATGTCCAGTATCATCGGCTACTTCCTCAGCCACTGCACAATATATTGTTGTTTGCGTTCCTTGCACAATACTCTTACCAAATAATTGCGCATACAAACCAACATAAAATAAATAATTTAGCATGTTGGTGAACCGAAATATATCGGTCCTAATAACACCCGGATGTAGACAGTATACGTTTACCCCACGAATATTTGCTCCTAAAAATCAAAATCTTTATGTAAGAGTTTATTTTCTGAGTATTTTTTTTTATTACGCGATTTGTTAACGATCGATTAGCGATGATCAAGTATTAATTAATTAAATAAATGCTATTTAACCCAATTCGTAATAATACGTTTCCTTTTTTACATACTTTTCAATCGATGGGCAAGTTCCTTGGTAAACAGAATGTTTGCCAATTTGGATTGTGCATAATTTTTAAATGGTGTATAAGATTTCTCCAGATTAATATCATCGAAATCTATGTCACCAACTATAATAGAATACTTTGTTACACATATATTTTAAACAAGAACTCTGGACGTAAACGAAAAACATTTTAGTTTCTTTTTAAAGCCATCAACAATATCACTATACGTACGAATATATGCAATTGATGAGACATTGATTATTCTGCAGTTGGGAGAAGAAAATTGCATTTTTGGCAATAGCAGAAGTGTCAAAAGAAAATGGCTAAGATAGTTGACCTGAAATGTCGTCTCATTTCCATCCTCTGTCTTTTTGTCCGGATGCGAAGTCACACCGGCATTATTTATAAGTATGTGTATAGCTGTTTCGTTCGTCAGTAAGTTTTTAGCACAATCTCTGACACTCTTTAAACTACATAGGTTCAGAAAATAAATCGCAAGTTCACCTGCGTTTTTTTTATATTCATTTTTATTGATCCTAAAAATTTTCATAGATAGCCACACCGTTATTTTCTTCAACATGCAAAATTTTAATTAAAATAAATACAGTTTTATAAAGAGAGAGAAGGAGAATATAAAACCAAATAGCAATTAAATTAATTGATTCTTATAACACAAAATTTATATATTTACCTTGAAGGTGGATTATTCTTTATATCTTCAACTGCTTTATTCGTCTTCTCTATATCTCTACAAGCCAGAATTACTCTAGCGCCTAAATACACACGTTATTTTTAAGAGAGTATTTAAAAATATATATTTTAATTATGAATCAAAAAAAAGTTTTTATGAAGATCTAATTAAAGCAATGAATAAAAAGCCTAATATTCTAATAAAGAAATGAATATACTGTTTTGTTTTTTTTTATAAAATATTCTTATACGATTATATAATGACATTTTACATTGTCAGCTTTTGATTAATAATAAGTTTACATAATTTATAATTCTCACATACAGACACATTTATTCTACTATAATATCTACTTTAATTTCGAGTAAGTTTAAAGATAATTTAGATTGTCATTTCAATAAAATCACCTCTTGCATATAAGTATCTGGCAGTTTCCTTGCCGATACCACCACTTGCTCCCGTTATTACAACAGTTTTACCGTCGAGACGTGCTTCGCTCGTACACATTTGATTGAAGAGACACATATTAAGATTCTTTAACCACGACATTATTAATATGCAATTGTCTATTGTCTTGTTTTTAATTTACTCACTATCGATTTCACTAAATATGTTCTCTTCGATTGTGCGATTTTTCTTGATGTTGTTGGTCTAATGATCGCACGCTTGTGGGTTCGTATTTTTATACAGTAGCGCTGGTAGCGCCCCTAGTAGCTAAAGCTGTTCTACAATACTCTAACAATAAGATCATCTTAAAGTCAAGTGTCGAATGCATGCGCACTGAATGCTCGTGTGAGAGTTTTAAAGGCTGGGAAAAAAACCGGTTTTTTTCAATTTTTCCGCGGATTTTTTCGGTTTCTTTCCCAAGGGGTAGAAAAATTCAATGGAAAATTTCAC